GGATTCTTCAGGAGAGGTAGGTGGGCAGAGATGTCCTTGCCTCAGAATAACTGGCTGGCCAGAGGTATGCTGCTGGGTCTGTCTGTGGCCAGCAGCCAGGGTCAGGACAGTCTGTCAGAGGAGGAAGACCAGGAAATTAACAAGAGAATAAAGGAGCTTGAAATCCTAAGCAGAATGCAATGGTGACCGACCTCCCTAGCCTGTTGATGCTGGAGCTGGGATTTGCAGGAGAGGTTAGTGGGCAGTGATGTCCCTGCCTCAGAATTATGCTGCTGGGTCTGTCTGTGGCCAGCAGCCAGGGTCAGGACAGTCTGTCAGAGGAGGAAGACCAGGAAATTAACAAGAGAATAAAGGAGCTTGAAATCCTAAGCAGAATGCAATGGTGACCGACCTCCCTAGCCTGTTGATGCTGGAGCTGGGATTTGCAGGAGAGGTTAGTGGGCAGTGATGTCCCTGCCTCAGAATCACTGACTGGCCAGAGGCCTGCCGCTGGTCTTACTGTGGCCTGCAGTGGGGGAAAGGAGAGGGTAGCGGGTTGGCGTTGGGCCTAGGGTCTTCAGGAGAGGTAGAGGGACAGTGATGTCCCTGCTTCAAAATCATTGGCTGGCCTGAGGCCTGCCACTGGGTCTGTCCATGGCCTGCAGCTGGGCACAGGATAGGCTGTGAGAGGAGGAACAGCAAGAAATTAACAAGATAATAAAGGAGTTTAAAATCCAAATCAGAAAGTAATGGTGACCTACTACCTAGCAGGAGAGCGCTGTGGCTATGTTCTGCAAGAGAGTTATGTGGGTAGTGATGTCCCTCCCTCAGATTCACTGGCTGGACAGGGGCCTGCCACTGGCTTTGTTTGTGTCATGCAGCCAGGGACAGGACAGGCTAGCAGGTTGGTGCTTGGGCTGGGGTCTGCAGTAGAGGTAGGTGGGCAGTGATGTCCCTTCCTCAGTATCACTGACTGACCAGGGTCTGTGGCCTGCAGCCGGGACAGGACAGGCTAGCGGGTGGGCGTTGGGGCTGGGGTCTGCAGGAGATGTAGGTGGGCAGTGATGTCCCTACCTCAGATTCACTGGCTGGCAGGAGGCCTTGAGCTGGGTCCTTCAGTGGCCTGCAGCTGGAACAACAGGACAGGCTGTCAGAGGAGGAAGAGCCAGAAATTAACAAGAGAATAAAGGAGCTTAATATCCAAAGCAGAATGTAATGGTGACCCACCCACCTAGCCTTAGGGCACAGGGTCTGGGATCTGCAGGAGATGTAGGTGGACAGTGATGTCCCTGCCTAGAATCAGTGATTGGCCAGAGGCCTGCCGCTGTGTCAGTCTGTGGCCTGCAGCTGGGGAAAGGACAGGGTAGAGGGTTGGCACTTAGGCTGGGGTCTTCAGAAGAGTTAGGGGGCCGTGATATCAATGCCTCAGAATTGCTGGCTGTCCAGAGGCCTTCTGCTTGGTCTGTCTGTCACTCACAGCTGGGGAGAAGAGAGGCTAGCAGGTGGGCTCTGGGGCTGGGGTCTGCAAGAGAGGAAGGTGGGCGGTGATGTACCTGTCTCAGAATCACTGGCTGGCCAGAGGCCTGCCGCTGGGTCTGTCTGTGGCCTGTAGCTGGGGACAAGACAGGCTAGCGTGTGGGCACTAGACCTGGGGTCTGCAGGAGAGGTGATGTCACTGCCCCAATATCAATGGCTGGCTAGAATATTGGCACTGGGTCTGTCTGTGGCCTGTATCTGGGGGCAGGATAGGCTGTGAGAGGAGGAAGAGCAGTAGATTAACAAGATAATAAAGGAGCTTAAAATCCAAAGCAGAAAGTAATGGTGACCTACATATGTAGCGGGTGGGCGCTGAGGCTGGGGTCTGCAGGAGAGGTAGGTGGGCAGTGATGTCCCTGCCTCAGAATCACTGGCTGGCCAGAGGCCTGCCACTGGGTCTGTCTGTGGCCTGCAGCCAGGGACAGGACAAGGTAGGG